ACTAAGCATGTTCAGGGGTGAGCTGTTCGGATATAGTTATTACCTACAAAAGAACTTTATAGTGGAGCGTGGCTTGACAATGCTTAATACCAATGTGGCCTGCAAATATTCCAAGTGGGTGCAAAAAATGACCTGGACCTCTGCCGAAAGACAAATTTTGCCATTGGAATAATGCTTGTTAAAGGACATCCTGCTAATTGTGAGGTAAACTTGATTTCATTCTGAAATTTATTTTTCAAACATATCAAGACAAGACATTAAAGACAGCCAAGAACTACTAGCTCTTGCAAACACCCAAAGAGAAGAGGGCAGGCTTGAACTTGCCAATTTTGTACTGGGCAGATCTGCTAAAGCCTTGAACGAGCTCATAGCTACGACTTGGAAAATGCATGGTGCATCAGCATCGATAGCAAAGGCAAAAATGTCGCGAATGGAAATGGTTAAAGAAGAGGCGGCAAAAGAATGCAAGAGCAGCCGTAATGGGCTCTGGTTTGAAATGTGCTGTGGACGTGTTGCACAACAATAAAGAAAACAAATATGTTTTTGCCGATTCAATGCGTAATCTTTTGGAGAAGGGGAGAGGATAGTTTAGAAACATAATGATCCCTGGCCATGCAAACTGTGGGAAAACATTTTTATTGAATCCTCTGAATGACCTCTTCGAAACGTTCACAAACCCTGCTAATACTAGCTATGCTTGGTTGGGAGCTGAGAAAGCCCAAGTTATATTGCTCAATGACTTTCGTATAGCACCGAAACAATGGCCTGGAATGACTTTCTATGTTTTTTGGAGGGACAAACTGTGCACTTGGCTGCTCCAAAGTCTACATATGCCCAAGACATCCTTTTCGACAAGGGCACTCTAATTTTTGCTACTGGCATATAACTGTAATTATTATTTTAATTATCAATATAATTATCATTATGATTGTTAATTTAATTAATACTAATCAATTTACAATCACATATTGATTGCTCTATGCTGTTATGTTTATTCCCATATGGAAATAAACCCTTATCAGAACTTGAATTGTCTTTAAAACTTTCACATTGTAACTCTGTAAAGATCTTGAATGATTGAGAGACATTGTTTCTAATGAATGGACCTTAATGAGAATAGCACACTCAAACAAAATAAGTCTTGATTCTACAATGTGTTGTTAAATTTTAACTATGTTATTATAACATTACGATTAAGATTTGTTCCCTTTTTACTACCTATGATAAGTCAATACTTTATTTGTTCGCTATTAGATTTGACAATCATCTGCATTCTGTGATTCATCAAATAAATAATTTTGTCAATTTTATCAACTGGAATTCCATGTACTAGATTTATTATTCTCTCATGATACTCCTCTATTGTTTCACAGCAAATATTTTTCTCTATGGCCTCATCATTCAACTTGCATCATGGCTTTTTTTGCCTTGGCACTGTTTTGAGATGGGTCGCCATCTTGAACCCACATTCATGACAACGTTTCTCCTGCTTTCATGATGTTTTCAAAGTTCTCAACTATAAACCCAGCAAATAACTCCCCATTCATACTCTCGTAGCGTTTGGCACATGTAACCACTCTTCCATATGGGCTTAGGATCAGCAAACGACATTATCCAGTGTTTTAACCTTTCAGATATACCACTGGAAGTAGTAATGTTTCAAACATACGATTCAGCGGCAAATTTGTGTGGAAAATTCAATGGTGCCCATAGGAAGGTCAACAATCTGCTTCGAAAGAGACCCCACATGGCGTTAATCTTGTGGTAGAGCATGGCTGTAAGGATTCTTTGCTCATTGGAAAGGTGTTTGCTGTTCTAGAAAGAATATTCGTAATATTTACAAAGAGCACTAAAAGAAATGCGTTCTTGAGAGAACATACAAAGGATGTGGAAAACAGCTGAAAATTGAAGAGCAGGATCGGTAGCAGCAGTATGGAGGAGCCTAGAGGCAGTTATTTGTCCTCTTGATGACGTAAAAGGGTCCAATGATAAAGAGGAAAAGTTGAGAGCATCAGCACTTCTGAATGACATTGTAAACATTGATTTTGTCTGCGGCTGATGTTCCTCAAGAACATAATGCCGCAAACAAAGACCTTAAGTGGTAGCTTTTATATACTTTTATGTTAAAACTACATGTTTTATCTCTACATCTTCTGAAGAGTATATATAGTTGCCTGATTTATATATGTATTATATTATTATTATATTATTATCATAATATTATTATGTTATAAAATATGTATCTATCGGAAGTTTCAAAATATAAGAAAATTTTATAGTTGAGAACTTTGAAAAACCCGTCAAAAACAAGATGGTCAGCAAGAGCAGGATCGGTAGCAGCAGTATGGAGGATCCTAGAGGCAGTTATTTGTCCTCTTGATGACGTAAAAGAGTCCAATGATAAAGAGGCAAAGTTGAGAGCATCAGCACTTGTAAATGACATTGTAAACATTGATTTTGTCTGCGGCTGATGTTCCTCAAGAACATAATGCCGCAAACAAAGACCTTAAGTGATAATTTGCAAAGAAAAAGCGTCAATGTTGCCAGTGCCTTGGTCGTACTGACCTCAACTCAAGACTGCTTGAAGAGGATGCAATCGGAGGATAAAAATGTTAATAATCAAATTGAAGCCTCCATCAGCGTTGCAAAATATATCGGCACCAACCCTATGGCAGATTTTGCAAGACTCCACAAAAAGAGACGTCGTCCAGAAGCAGAGAATTTCCAACTGCAACAAATTAGCACCTTCTACAGAACAGAGTTCTTTAAGTTTATTGACAGCCTTTCTGCTACTCTTGCTGAAAAGGAAAAGTGTCTCAGAGGTATGTTTGAACCCTTCCTAAAAGTATTGAATGCCGGGCACTGTGGAGGAAATGCCCAGTCTTTTTTCAATGTTTCCCACAGTGTTCTCTCGTGAAAGCAGCACCACTCTACACAGCGAGCTGGCAGTTTTCTTTGAACACGCAAAGAGAGTGCACAAAGACTGACAAAAGAGGGATCTAGAGAACAGGAAAAAAGTGGCACAGTTGAGCTGCAACGTAGTGGCCTAGATTGCTTTCCAGTCCGAGCAAAGGTACTGAATATTTAAACTGGCAGCAAGACTCTACCAGCTTTTCATCACTGCTGCTCCATCTGTTGCTACAAATGAACGTTCTTTCAGCTTAATGAAAAGGGTGAAAAGCTATTCCAGAAACAAGCCAGGCGAAGAAAAGTTGAACGACCTAATGGTACTTGCAAAAAGAGAAATTTAACGGACACAGAGAAATTTAACGCACAGAGAAATTTAACGCACAGAGAGAAATTTAACGGACATTATTAAGCTTGATAAAATTGTAAAAAAGTGGTTGCTGCTGAAAACAAGAAGGAAATCAATTATTTAGGACATCAATATTATTAAAACACTTCTTGTGAATATTCAAGAATGAATATAAAATGTTCAGGTAAAAGAGGCTTTTTCAGGTGATTTGACCATACACCCCCCCCCCAACCTAAAGGGCCTCGGGATGTCCCTGCCTGTACCATATGCCTGACCCTTTGCCATGCAATCTTCAACAAGTCCCTCGCTTCTCTTTCTCCACACTCGTCTTTTGGGGGCCAGAGCCTGGTCTTTGGGATTTTGTTTGTATACAAAACCAACTCTGTCAAGATAAAAGTTTATGTTCTTACACCAAAAATCTTTAGGTTTTTCCTTCAATATCCATTTTGCATATTTCAGTCTTAATTTCTTGTCTTTCTCTGTTAGTAAACCTTTTTAATAATACCCATTGGGATTCAAAAATCTGGTAATTATCCTCCTATCCTTTCCATCAGTCTTTCTATTGTCCAGTTTGGATTCTGAGAACAGACACATTTCACAAGTCGGAGAAGTCGCCTTTTGTGTCTTACAGATAGTTTAGATGGTCGCTCCTCAGATGGTATAGAGATAGTTTAGATGGTCGCCCCTCAATTTATCTCTTTTTGTTTTTTCTGCTAGTTTTCAAACTCTCACTCCATATTTGATAAATATGAGCTCTACAAATTCCAGTGTTTGCAATCAATTTGGCTACTTTTCTGGACCTGTTTAGTTTGATATAAGCTCTTGTTTTTGGAGAAATGATTCTTGGATGTACCATCGTTAATAATTTGCATTCATTGAGTGCTTCAGAACAGCCTTAACCCTTATTTGATATTACGTCAAATGGCCCGTTTCGTCAAATAATCAAGATAATAGCTATACCCCCTGAAAGGTGCAAATGACGCTTTATCGTGACCCTTCAGTATAAGTGACATATTGTAACAAAAACTTGTAAAACAATTGTTATATCAATAACACACAATAACTTCCAAACACAGACAATCCTGGAGAAAAGTTAGGAGATATTTGCTTTTATAATCATTTATTGCAGAAGCACCCAACCGCATGCCCCCAATATAAATGTTGATGTTGTGACGTTTTGTCCAGGATTGTAGACATGCTGTACATGCTTTTGCAAGAAAAGGATCAGCTACCTGATAATTTGGAATACGTATGTGATGCTGAGGTCGTTGTTCCTTTGAAAATTGCAGTGCTTCCACTGAAGCTATTCGCCAAAAGACATGCAGCAATTCAGAAAAAGTATGTCAAGCTAAATGAAAAATTCGCCAGTAGCCAGATCATTATCCACAATGGCCTAGATAATACGTACAAGAAGGTATTTTTGTTGCACCAACATCATCTGGAAGTTACAGTCTATACGATAATTCATTTGACCAACTCTCTTAGTAGAATTGCAGGTTTGTAATTTTTTACATTCTTCTTGAGCCATAATTTGGAATACGTATGTGATACTGAGGTCGTTGTTCCTTTGAAAATTGCAGTGCTTCCACTGAAGCTATTCGCCAAAAGACATGCAGCACTTCAGAAAAAGTATGTCAAGCTAAATGAAAAATTCGCCAGTAGCCAGATCATTATCCACATATATATATAATCACACATTCCGTTGTATTTACAACATTGTGTACATCAAATAGTGAAAAAAAAGTTAGTTTCTCAGGCTTCGTTTGACTGTTCTTCGCCACAACACTCGATCCTGCACCGCTCTTTCAGCTTCATTCCATCCATCTAACTGCATATCTTTAAAGTCTTTGGTCATTGTTTGTGTTATCCATATGTACTTTTTTCTTCCCCTATGGGCTCTTCCAGGTCTTCTAGCTTCTCTTAAAGCCTTCTTTAGAGGTGTTTCATCATCTAGTCTCAGCATGTGACCCGTCCATCTTCTTCGTTTTTCTTTGATTTTGTCCACCCATGATGTCATACCAGCAATCTTGTCAATTTCTGTGTTCTTTTTCTTTTCTTGCCATTTTACTCCTAGCATCCATCTCAGAATTCGATGTTGGAAGCCTGCTATTTTCTTTTCTAGAGTGGTGGTGACGTTCCATAGCTCAGCATTGTACATGAAGATTGGCTCTACTAAACTTGATAGTATCTTTTTCTTGGTGGTGATGCTTTTTCCTTTTATCCAAATATGTTGCAGTTTTGACATCGCGGTTATTGTCAATCTTCTTCTGTTTTCATAGTCAGTTTCTGTGTCAAGGTAGCTTCCTAGGATTTTGCATTTTTTCCAATCAGTTGTTATCCACAATGGCCTAGATAATACGTACAAGAAGGTATTTTTGTTGCACCAACATCATCTGGAAGTTACAGCCTTTACGATAATTCATTTGACCAACTCTCTTAGTAGAATTGCAGGTTTGTAATTTTTTACATTCTTCTTGAGCCATAATTGATTTCATTTGTTCTCACTAAAATCTTCATCTGCATCTTTTATTAGTGAAGGCTGCCGTTTGACGATCAGCCATAGACCACTTGATGTCATATAGAAAGAGCTGTACAGCTGCCTCATGGTTGCATTAAGCCTGAATTTCAGATTAGCAGCTTAAAAACGTCATGTTCTATACATAAAAAGCGCCCCTTTTTCTTCGTATGGGATTTATTTCAACACTTCATATGAATTTATTTGTAGATAGTAGCAAAAATCGAAAGAAGATAGGCATGAAGGTTTCCAAACAATCTGAATTGTTGAAAACACTTGTATTCATTTTTCAATATGCTCCAGAATAACACTATTCGTTGCCTTTGCATTTTATCTTTTTTTGTCTTCCAAGTCAGCTAGACAGATCACTGTATTCTTTCAGAGTATTGCTTTAATTGTATTCTTTCTGATCCGTTGGTTAAAAATGTCAAAAGAAAGTGTTAATGTTTTTATCTCTGTTTTTTCAAGTAACTTCTGAACTGAAGCAGACCTGTGCCAGTCTCTAATTGAATCGGAAATGAAGAATTTCATTTCATTCTTCATAGAGAAAAGAATGAAAGATCTTCAAAAACTTCTAAAGGAGCTTTCTGGTAACAATTTATAGTGTTTGTACTTATTGTGTGCAGAAGAAATGTTCAATCTTGACTCAATCTCTTAGAAGTCTTTTATCTTAACCAGCCTAATCAAAAGCTGTACGACTGCAAATGTTTTTAAAAATACAACTAAATTGCACAGCTTTAATGCATCTAAGATCTTAATAACATTTAATAATCTAACATTTTGCTTATTGCAGACTCCTTTCCTGAAAACTGTGGGCATGCCATTCCAAACATTCACGAAGATAATAATGTATGTTTTATTTGACTTGTGGTAAGTCAAATAATTTGTTGTATTTGTCAGGCCAAATCAAACATCCATCAATCCATCAATCCATCCATGCATCTTCCATCCTTTCTTCCATCCACCCATCACTTTAAAAGTTACAAGTTGGTGCTTAAACCCCCAAAATAATTCGGAAACTCAAAAATATTTTTCAGCCAATCAAGTTAATTAAAAGTAATGTCATTTTAAAGTTGTTTAATACAATCAATAATGTAAATGTGAAGGAGAAAACTAATAGAAAAAGGTTAAGATCAACAACATTAGATTTACATTTTGCATTTTGTAATCTGCATTTCAGGCTACAACGTCAAAGAAAACTCATGATGTTTTACGAGGTATAATTGCATTGGTACACCAAGGTTTGCATTATTGTAGGAAGCAGGTTGTATCTGCCTGTAACACATTTAGACAGTACACCGGAAAGACTGCAGCACAGAGGACTGCTGGCAAGGATGACGACAATACCTAACAGGTTGAAGCAAACCTTGGAAATGATTGGTCGGACCTTTCCAGCGATGAAAGTTCTGCAGACTCCTCTGATTCTCCGTCACTATCTGACATTTCGAGTTCTAACAGTGACACTGATGGTTTAGATTAACGTTCTCTTTGTATGGGGAAATTTAACCACCTATATTTGTGTATTTCTTTAAACAAGACGGTTTATATCTTACATAACATAACATAACATAACAAATGCTGTAATGTAGGCTATATGCATGTTACAGATCGCTTCTAATCTAATTGTTCTCTAAACTGTAATTGTAATCTTATCTTGTGTTCATATGTATTCTAAGAGATAAAATTCCCACTGATTATTATTATTATTATTGTGTCCATATGTATTCTAAGAGATAAAATTCCCACTGATGCAGGGATCCGCTTGAAAAGGCTTATGAATTTAAGTTAGAATTATGGTTTCAGTTAGCTGTAAGTTAGTTACCTTCTTGCACCCTACTTTCAGTGAATTGATAATAATAGAAACAATAATGAAATGCAGTGAATCTTTCATATACCCCCCTGGGAGCCTTCTTCCAGCAGAGAGGAGGCTTCCAAAGTGGCACATAAATATTAAAAGGAAATCAAGAGCTTTTTTCTAATTTGAATTACAGACGACCACTGACACCTCATACAGTCGGCTGTAATCATGCAGTTAAAAGAATGTACGCTTCCTCCTCCATTTTATTCTATCGAAGGAATAGGTTTTAAAAATAATATTCTCGTTTGCATATTTAGCCTCTAGGTAATTGATGAGAAACTTTATTTTATCAACTGTAATTCAGCAAGAAGTTATTATCAGGGCTTTCCATTGTATTCTGAAGCCGAAATTGTAAGCCAATTGGTTTTCTTTCTCATTAATCTTCTCAAAAAATATCTAATTTCATTACGACGTTCCTGTTCTAATACTCGATCAGTCCAAATGTTCACATAGTCTGCACGAAATAAGTAAATTCTCTTCTTTGATCGAAGAACAGATGCATGTTTGTTTATAAAAGGGACAATACATTACACAAAATTCCGTCAACGTTTTTATTGATGAAAGAGGGGCTTTGGATCCCAGAGCCATTTAATATGGGCGGAATTTAATGTTACATGATTAAATATGATTTAATATCTGCAATAATAGCAATTCACTTTGATATGTCGAAAAAAAGAAAATACAAAATATTGTTGCTGAGCACATAAAAAACCATTCATGATAATGCAGATGGTGTTGGTTGAACCCACAAGTATCACAATGATGAATTGTTAAATCAAGTACATGAAAGTATCAGTTCAAAAGAGAAAGGTTGAGGATTTCTACTGCTGAAAGATTCTTTTTTTATAATGAATTAGGTCCTCGTAGTTTTTCAAAAAAAAATTTCACTTTAATTCTTTCTTATCAATATAGGGTATGGTTTTTCAAGACTTTGGGCTCAATCTTGATGGTAAAATTTTAAGTTTCTTATTCGGAAATTCACCTTGCCTGTTCAAAATAGTTATATCCAACTGAAATCCTTTCAAAAAGAAAACCATCAGTGCAATGGTGCAATTTGAGATCCAGTGAAATCCAGCCTGAAATATGACATTCGCATACTAAAAAACTTGGTTGGGGGTCCATGGGGCGAGACCCTCTGGAAAACTTGACGCTTTGCAAGATCCAGTAAAATTTGGTCTGGAAATCGTAATATGAGAACTTGGATTTGCTTATAATACATTCAAGACCTTGTATATATCAGTTATAATCTGAATTCTACGGAACAATAACACTTCGTACACTTCAAAATGTAGACTGAGGAAAATATAATACTGGCACAAAAATAATGTCAGCACCTACCTACATATTTATTTTCATTTGGATATCCTTATCTTTATGGATGAAAACAGAAAACCCATCTCAATTGATAATTTTGTAATTCCCGTCTTTCTGGAATCAGCTAAGTTGAGAACAGTATCTTCTGCACTCTAAACGGGACCAACGAGTACTTTACAATGTTCATAAGAGAGTACATGCGATAAAGTTTCAGTCAGTTGTTGCACCCAATGGTCTAATTGCTAATTTGTTTGGACCAGTTGAAGGAAGGCGACTCGACAGTGGGATGTTGGCAATGTCTGGTCTGTTGGAGGAGCTGGAGACATATTCTTTTTCACCAACAGGTCAGCCACTATGCATCTACGGTGATCCTGCCTACCCTCACAGAGTTCCCCTCCAATGCCCGTTTGCAAGGAGAGCTGTGCTATCCCCTGAAGAACAAGCCTTCAATCAATCCATGAGCCAGGTTAGAGTCTCAGTTGAATGGGTCTTTGGAGACATCGTAAACTATTTTTAGTTTACTGATTTCAAGAAAGACTTAAGATTGGACTCAGTGCTGTTGGAAAGTTTTATATTGTGTGTGCCCTTCTTTGTAATGCTATGACTTGCCTCTATGGGAACAGCACATCCAAATTTTTTGATGTTCGGCCTCCAGGCCTTGATCCATATTTTAGCAGGGAGTAATCACTTCATAAAGGTTTACCTATAAACCACAAACAGTTTGTTTAAAAGCTACCAAATTCGCCAAAAGTCCTTCACAAGTAACACGTATGACAAAAATCAATTAAGGATTTAAATAGAAGAAAATTTAATTTTTAAATACACAGCCAGAAATTAAATATTTTGTCAAAGATCATTATTGCCATTTCCCAAGCGAAGCTATTATATTTTTTTGTTCTTGCAATTGTTTGATTATCTCCTGCTGTTGCTCAATAATTTTTTTCATAGAGTCCAACAATTTCCCACCCCTCTTGTCCCTGTCCGCCTGCTGTTTTTCAAGAATAGCCAACTCTTTTTCTTTTAACTTAATTTCATGCTTCTTTATAAGAAACATGTCATTATGCATCCTTTCTTCAAGCTGTAATTGTCTCTCTCTGTTATCAATGTCAACCTTTTTTCGGTTTCTTTATCCTGGAAATACTCAACCATGCCAATGCCAGATCTCTTCTTTTCCTTTGAACTTTCTTGGCCCTCTCTGTCCTTTGTCTGAGACATTCTCTGTCCAGGTCTCTCCATTGATCTTTTCCTGACATTCTCTGCTGTTTCTCTTTCTTTTTCCGACTGTTTGTTCTTGTTATTTTGGGATTCCATCAGCTCCTTTTCTGCATTTTCAGATGCCTTAATTAAATTTTTGATGGCTTCATCAAGCTCACTTACTTCAGGGCTAATTCCACTTGCTCTTTCTTCCTCCCTCAAACGTTTTTATAGGCCTTTTCTAATTTAGCATATCTCTCCCTTACACCCCTCTGATCTACAGTGAATCTAATTTGTTGGACCAAATGCAATAATGACTCAGCAACCTTATCCCATGCCTGCCCCCTCTCCCTAGAGCCAAACT